TCTTTTCTTTTATTTTTTTGGTTTTATTTTTTTGTGTATGAGAGAGAGAGAGAGAGGGGCGGGGGGGGTGAAGGGAAGAGAGCTAGGGGAAGTCGCCAGCATGGGGGGACCACGAGGCGCAATCTTCTTTGTCGCTTTCCTCCTCTTTTTTGTTGTTTTTCTTTGTGTGTGAGACAGAGAGAGTGAGACAGGGTAAGGGAGAGGGTTAGGGGGAAGTCGGCGGCTGGGAGAGAGCCATGTCGCGTGGTGTGATATAGAGAGAAAGAGAGACGGGCCAAGGGAGGAGTGTTAGGGGGAAGTTGGCGGCGGAGATTACTGTTTCCTTTCTCCCTCTTGAGGATTTTTTTCTCCTTTTTTTTGTTCTTGATTAATGACAGCGTCCTGTGCAAATGCTTTCGCAACAAGGTGCTGGCAGAGTCATCCAAGAGACATCTGCCAGACTGTTCCGACGGACTTTTACGGGCCCAGCACGGTCTTTTTTTTTTTTTTGTGTGTGTGTGTGTGCAACGAACCTGACTGTTCACAGCTTGCTGGAGTGTTCATAGTGCATGAGTAAATGTCATCACACAGATAAAGTAGTCTCACACAAAGCCAAGACGAGATAGAATGAGAACCAGATTGCCCAACTCATATTATCAAAGTCACATTATACAAAGAGTATCTTGAGCTCAGGAGTCCAGCGCCAAACAGATCACAAGTCTTCTTCAGTCATTCGTCGACAAAGGACCTGGCTCAGCCAGCGTCTCCCCTCAGATCATAAGCATGGCGCCAACAGGTAAGTATCCACCATTTCCAACTTCACAACCTGTCTTCTCTCTCCCTCTCTTCTCTCTCAAGATCTCTGTCCTAGTTCCCTTGTGTCACCATGCATGCACACTCCCCGTCTACGAGAATCTACTTTGAATGCTACTCACTGATATTTTACTACTAGCATAAGTTGGCGCAGCTATGGCCTCTTCAGCAGCCAGTGCCCAGCACTTCTTCCTTCTGGCGCAGCTCTCAAGCCAGCGCTCTCTCCCTGCAC